AGAGAGTGGAGGATTTCCAAGAAAGTCATTGCAATAGCTGCTTCGGAGAGGGATTTTTCCTTTTTTTTTTTTTTTTTTTTTTTTTTTTTTTTTTTCTCCTTTCTCTTTTTTTTTTTTCTTTTAAATGAAGTCTTGCCATGAGGCAGCAGTGCCGCAGGACGGCCGGCGCTGGCAGCCGGCTCCGGGCACGGGCACCCCCGCCGCTGCCCTTGTGTTGGGAGAGCCCCGAAGTTGCCTGCGGGGGGGACTGGCCGCTCGCTGCCGGCTGCCGCCTCCCTCCTCCCTTCCAAACCAGCGCGCTTGTCAAAATCCCGCTTTTTCACCTTTTTTTTTTTGCAATTCCCCCTCCCCCGGCCGGGCGCGGTCGGTGCCGGTGCCCCCCGCGCTCCCACCCCCGCGGCGCGGTGCGGGTGGGGCGGGGGGCGGGCGGCTGCAACCTGCCGGCGGGGCAGGGCCGGCCCCCGGCGGGCGGTCGGAGCGGGGCGGCGGCTGCCATTGGCCGCGGCGCGAAGCGACACCTGCTCGGCTCCCTCATGCGAGTGACACCGGGGCTCGGCGGGGATATTTGAGGCTCCCTCCGGCGCCGCCGCTGCCACTCCGCGCTCGCCGCCGCGCCGGGCACATGCGGTTCTCGGGGCCGCGGCGAGCAGCGCGCTGGGCCCGGGTGCGGCACCCGGCGGGGGAGGACGCGGCGGCGGCGGCGGGGGGAAGGCACGACCATGTGCGCGGAGCTCGGCGGAAAGCTGGTGGCCCCGGCGCTGCTGCTGCTGCTGGCCACGGCCCTGCTGCTGGCCAGCGCCAGGGCGGCCGCGGGCACTGAGGCCACGCACCCGCCGGAGGGGCCGCAGGACAGGACCCCGCAGCAGAAGGGGCGCCTGTCCCTGCAGAACACAGGTACGGGCGGGAGCGGGGGGACCGGGGTGGTCTGTGCGCGTCCCCCTCCCCGCGCTGCTGCAGCCGCGCCGAGTTGTGACAGGCGTTTTATTTCGGTGCGCGACTGTCAGGCATAAATCAGCGGAGGAAATCAGAGCTCGCTCCTAATTACCTTTAAAGCCCGGCTCTGCCAAGCACGTGTTGCCCGCGCACAGCCGCGGCCCCGCGCCGGGCACGGAGCGGCTCCGCCGGGCTCGCAGCGGCCCCGGGGCGGCCCGAGCCCCGAGGAGATGCTGGGCCGGGGAGGAGAAAGTTTCTCGAAACCGGGTGGAGGGCTGGGGGGGAGCCGGGAGGGCCGGGAAGCGGCTGGAATGACCGGAGCTTTGCCCCCCTCCGTAGGGAGACGTGCAATGATGCAACGGGCCGGGGGTTTCTCTCCTCCTCTCCCGCCCTCCGCGCTCCCTCCCCCGGGTATTATCTGCCTAGAAAAAGAGAGCTGAGGCGTGCACTTCGCTGGATCGTTTCCCAGCCGTGCAAAGACAGAGCGCGGGATCCAGACGCTTCCCTTCCCCCCCGTCTTCCCCCCCCTGCCTTTTTTTTTTTTTTTTTTTTTAACACTCTCAGTGCTGCGAGACGTGTTTAAACACACACGAGCAGGAATGCACGAATGCCCATTAGGGACTGCCACATGTGAATCACGGCACTGTGCAGTTCTCAGCACGCTGGAGCCAGGACATGTGATCCGGCAAAGGGTTTGCATCCGGATGCCAACACAAGCACCACAGCCGCGCTCCCGGACCCGGCAGCGCCCGGCTCCGCGCTCCACAAAGGGCTCCAGTGCCCCTTTCCCCCTTCCCCGGGACGGGTGGGTTTGCGCAGCTTTTCGCCCGTGGCTCAGACAATCCCCGCAGCCCACCCCCGGGGCTCCCCCGTGCCACCCCCTGATGCACTTCGGGGCAGGTAGAAGGGGGAAAAAAAGGAAAAGAAGAAAAAAATGCAGCGGCAGTGCATTTTGAGGTGTGAGAGGGGGTCGTGTGAACTCCCGCAGGCTCCGCATTTACATCCGCGGCTCCTCTCTCTGCCTTGCAGCGGGTTGAAATTAGACCGAAAGTTGCTGTAAAGACTTGCAAATGGACCGCATGGCAGAGGGGGAGGCTGGGGATGGCTGAAACACGCTGCGGTTCGAGGGGGATTAGGCTGGCTCCCAAGGGCGAACTTTAATTAAAGGTACCACAGGGCACAGAGTACAGGAATTCTTAGCATCCTCAGTTCTGGTGTAAAAGCTGCCCCTGTTTAACTTTATCCCCAGGCTTTTTCAGCAACCACCTTCCCTCTGGCAGTACTACTACATCCATTTTTTTTTTTAAAGGACCAGAAGCTGTCGTGTTAAGAATCAGATTTTTGGGTTGGTGGTTGGTTTTTTTTTGAAAGTGAGTATTAGACAGCATTTTTTACAGCATTACATAACATCTGAAAGGGCAGAATAAATACATATGTAACTACTAGCTCCAGTTCATCTATTTTATGTACTACATATATAAATATATATATTTTCTATTGATTTCTGCATAGATGAGCACATAGTTGCAGTTTCAGACCACACTCAGTGCAAGAGACTTTATGCATCAGTGGGAGTTTTGCCATTAACTTGATAGACACCCTGACAGGTAAAACCCAGTGGTCTGTAAGAAAACATTGCACCAAATGGCCAGAAACTAGCTCAAAATGCCAAAAATGAAAAATTTTGGCTGACTGGGTTCTGAGCTTCTCATTGTGGCACTTAAAGTTGATGGGGGACTATGTACAAGTCAGACAGCAAAAATCATGCCCGTCCTTTGCTCCTGAGGAATGCAAGACAGTTCTTAAGTGAAATAGGTTGACGTAAGCATAGTGGATTTGGCGTTTGTTTCTCAGATATCACTTTCATAATGTAATACACCCAAGTTTTGGCCTAATTTCTGCAAAAAGTGGGCACTCTGCGGGTACAATTAATTGTCACGCATTTTTCTTTCAAACTCATGTTGGTAGCAAAATAACTCCCTCTCCCCTACCCACCACCAGTTTCTATGAACAGTTCTTCAAATTAACTCTAACCAATACTCATTTTAGCTGAAATCCAGCACTGCCTGGTAAATGCTGGCGATGTGGGATGTGGAGTGTTTGAATGCTTTGAAAACAATTCTTGCGAGATCCGAGGCTTACACGAGATCTGCATGACATTCCTGCACAACGCTGGAAAATTCGATGCCCAGGTAACATGGTGAAATGTCCTACATATCCGCTTGCTTCTAACATACACTTGGCCTGTATTTTATTTCCTTAACACATCTTTGCAAAAAAAAAAAAAATTACCATGACAAAGCAAGTCTGCTTCTGCCATGATTCATTAACTCAGTAAGAATTTTTCTGTTGAAAGGTCCAGAACTGAGACCTCAGGACAGTAACAGAGCAGTGGTGTGCAACCTGTCCCAGGAGACAGGCTGTCTCTAGCTACAGCTCCCTGGATCCCTTCCACCTACTGTACCCAGGATAACTGCAGCAGAACACTAATGTAGCCAAACATGGTTTTAAGAAACACTGGGCAACTCAAGCTTCTGCACCATGTTTGTTCAAAGCTGACCCTGAAATGCAGCGTGGGCTCCCAGTTCATTTAGACTTATCACAATATTTCCCAACATGCAGTTATTAAAGTTGGTTCTCAAGACTTGCATACAACCAGTCCAGGCAACCTCCTAAAGCTGCTGTACTCAAATATGCCTTTGGTTCGAGCACTGACGTTGAAATACGTTACTTAGATGGTATGTGGTATTAAGTTTGTCTCCTTCATTTTCTCCCCAGACCATTTATGCATCATTGAGACATCCTGTTATTATGTCTTGTAAACCTACTCTCCCATTTCAGTGTGGAGGGAAGGGAACATTCCTACGGGCCAGCGGCATTTGGCTTGACCAGGCAGTTTACAGTATAACTTGACTAAAAGCACCAGCTACATGGCACTGTTAAAAGCATGGTACAAAGTAGAGCTGTCTTCAGTATCCAGCCCATTCCATGAGGGATGGTAGGACCACCCAGTAGGAAGCACTTTTGAAGTGCTGGAGTTTTAGGCTTAAATGCTCAAGGATGTACCAAGGGTCTGGCTAGTCATTGAAGTGGGAATTGCTGCTTTTATAGGTATCTGAAAACCTTCAACTCTAATTTCCAAGTGGCTTCCAGAAAACACTCATTTCTTTTTGCACAATATTCTGTCAGTGAACAGAGTTGAGCAAAGAAGTAAGTCCTGTTGGGAGAGGAGGGAAAGGGGCCTAGAAAAGCTGAGTGTAACCACTGATGCCTGATCCCCAGATATTGCTCAGCAGATACAGCCTGTTTCACATTCAGGCTGTCTCTATTGCAGTGCAGAAGATTTAAGCCCCTGGAGCTTCATTTAATATGGAGGTGGCTTTAGCCTCTGCTATGACATGACTTTTCACAGCTCCTCTCTCTATTATCTACAGTTATTTCAGGCTGCATTAAATGACAAGACTAATGCTGTCCATTTTCTGTTCTCTGCTCTGAAACCTGAGAATTGATGTCAGGTTTGGTTTATGTAAGAATTCTCTTTTTCATCCTTATTTGCCTACTGTGCTCTGCATGTTTGTTACTGAAGGGAAGGGCAAGTAAGTGCCTTTGGTATGGGGAATAGAAAGGGATGATGACTGAAGCAACTCTTTGATCAGCAAGAAATATTTCTGGCTTGAAACGATTTGGGGACGACATCTGCTTGCAGGTCTGGGTGAACCTGACTTAGTCACTTAGATGACTTAGTGACAGTGGGAGCTGTGCCAGTGTACTCTTGGGATAAAGGGGAACAAGGATTTGGTCTTCATGAAGCACCTGTGTAAAATCTGAAGCTGATGAAGAGGTGGAGGCAGCACAAGAGACTATTGCTCAGCAAAGTAAAGGGAGTCTGAGCAGAGCAGTTGCATGAATGGCAGCTGCAGTGTCAGATGGCAAAGAGAAAAGGAGGGGATGGGTTTGGTGTCCACTAAGCAAGTGAATGCAGGAATCACAAATAGTGGTTAAAGAGAAGTTGCTAAAGCAGATTTTCTCCACCTTAATTTTTTAGTTTCTTGATTTAATCTCACTTAGAATTTCTTGCAGCAGACATAAAGACACTGGAGGAT